TAGACACAAAGATTTAATTCTCGAACGTTTCGTTCCATTTCCAGTAAGTTATATTGAAGAAGGTAAAGTATTGGATACAAAGATTTAATCCTCGAACGTTTCGTTCCATTTCCAGTAAGTTATATTGAAGAAGGTAAAGTATTGGATACAAAGATTTAATTCTCGAACGTTTCGTTCCATTTCCAGTAAGTTATATTGAATAAGGTAAAGTATTACCAAAGTTTCAACATAAACAGGAATTAAAATACGAAGTAAAAGGATGAAATTATTGGTAATAAAAAAAAAGGAATAGGAGAGGTATACAATAGTACGTTGTTGTATAGTAGCGAATAACACCGAGAGCTTGGCCTACCTTCTTCGGACCAAACGGTTCTTAAGTAAACTGGCACTCCAGATTTATCTGGTATAATTAACCTAAGCAGTTATCAGGTTTCTTGGCGACGTATTAGCGATACTCACCGGGGCGGAACGTGCTTCTAGTGTTAGCAAGAGTTTTTAAATCGAATGGTTTTGTTAGACAAAATTTCGATTTGAAGATGGTACGGTTTCCATAGAGACCTTGTTAACTGGTGCGTTCTGTATGGTTCAAGGTTTTTGGTTTTCTTCCACATGACGGATGTATACATTTTGCGTGTTTTTGTGTAAGTATATCAAGCTGTTTTATTCACGTTCGATACTAAAGATGTTTTGAATAATAAAAAAAAGGAAATATTAAAATACCTTATTCGTTAAGAGAGAGAGAAATACTTTAGATTAGATAGTGAAGTCCCCAGTGGCTCAGCGGTAAAGACCGGGTTTCGATACTCGTGGTGGGCACAACACGGTTAGCCCATCGTGTAGCTTTGCGATTAACAACAAATAAGGTTGGTTTACATGTTTTCAACGAATATCGTTAGTCGAAACCTAGCAGAAGTGGTTTCTCACATCGAAGTTTACAAACAGTGTATCGTACTTTCTCTCAAGAAAGATTTGTTTTGGAGAAAACTGTTTATAAGTCAGCAGGAATGGAGATCTGTTTACACTTGTTTGTTTGTGGATTTCGCTAGCTACTCGAAGGCCGTCTCTAATTTAGAAGGTATAGACTACAGCACCACCCACCGCCAGCTCTTGGGCTACTCTTTACCAACGAATAGTGGGATTGATCGTCACTTTATAACGCTCCCCACAGTTGAAAGGACGAGCATGTTGGATGACGGGATTTAAACTCGCGGCGCACAGATTGCGAATCAAGTGCCTTATATCGTAGCAAAAATAAAATAGATAAGGTAGTGGTAAGAATAACACAAGTTACACAACTAAAACATCGATAAAGATAGATAAGGTAGTGGTAAGAATAACACAAGTTACACAACTAAAACATCAATAAAGATAGATAAGGTAGTGGTAAGAATAACACAAGTTACACAACTAAAACATCGATAAAGATAGATAAGGTAGTGGTAAGAATAACACAAGTTACACAACTAAAACATCGATAAAGATAGATAAGGTAGTAGTAAGAATAACACAAGTTACACAACTAAAAAAATAGATACAGAGAACCAAAACAGTATTGTAAGGTGGTTAGAGAACCAAAACAGTATTTTAAGGTGGTTATAGAACCAAAACAGTATTATAAGGCGGTTAGAGAACCAAAACAGTATTGTAAGGTGGTTATAGAACCAAAACAGCATTGTAAAGTGATTAGAGAACCAAAACAGTATTATAAGGCGGTTAGAGAACCAAAACAGTATTATAAGGTGGTTAGAGAACCAAAACAGTATTGCCCAAGCTCACCACTGAAACATTCTACACATCAATACGTTACTATTCTGATAGCAAGGTGTAACTATTATACACACAGTTCTAGCGTGGGGCTGGCTCCCTCACGAGCTTCGGCACTATACGACACGTGAAAGACATTGTAGTTGATGGTTAAGCCTTGAAAAATGAGATACGCCTTGTTTATTTCGTGCACAGACGCTGGTGCTGATGTTCAGTGAAAGCCTTCTACCAATTTCCCGTGTTCACGTAGCTTGTTTTCAGACCAAACAAACCTTATCCAAACTCGCCATTCTCTATCAAGTCACTCCAAACTCACCATTCTCTATCAAGTCACTCCAAACTCACCACTATTTATCAACAGTCACCCCAAACTCGCCATTCTCTATCAACAGTCACTCCAAACTCACCATTCTCTATCAACACTCACTCCAAACTCACCATTCTCTATCAACAGTCACTTCAAGCTCACCACTATTTATCAGCAGTCACTCCAAACTCACCATTCTCTATCAACAGTCACTCCAAACTCACCACTATTTATCAACAGTCACTCCAAACTCGCCATTCTCTATCAACAGTCACTCCAAACTCACCATTCTCTATCAACAGTCACTCAACAGTCACTCCAAACTCACCATTCTCTATCAACAGTCACTCCAAACTCGCCATTCTCTATCAACAGTCACGTCACTCCAAACTCGCCATTCTCTATGTTGATAAAGAATTTTGTGCTTGGAACGATGAAGACTGGAAGTTTCTGTAATTCGTACCGCTAGGCCTCGAATATCTGTAAGAAGTACAGAATACAGTTGAACACCTTACTACCTAGAAAGTGAATTCAAGGCCTGAAGCACGAAAGTCGAGATATTGGTTTTGTCATTATTTTATAATAAATACGTCACAGTCATGTGCATGAACGGTTAACCATCATTAACTTGTTTATGGTATAACCGTATTTGACGTTAGTTTCTTAGCAGTGCGTAGAAGAAAGATACATCCTCTCCCACACACACACACATCCGTTGTGTTCCAAAAGTAACTCCGTCAATCTGTTTTTTTGTTTTAAAATTCAATTACCGGTAAGATTTGATGTGCCGCTATATCAGTAGTAAATGTTCTGCTCAGAAACCTGCTGTAAAGAAGACAGGTAGGCAGTAGTATCCTTTCCTGAGTGGGCGTTCCACTGTAATCCCTTCGCTGCCCACGTTGGGCTTATCGGCTGAGGGTGGAGCAGTTTAATCCGGATCAGCAAACAGACGAGACAAACAATTACGTATTGTTACACATTGTTGTTACACAGTGACAGAAGAATTAATACGTGACAGTTTTCTATGTGTTTCTTTTCACGATGCGCTTTGCTCTTCCATCTCCCACGTCTGATGATCACGTGACAGTGACGAAGGGGCTATATAGTATATTATATTTATCGTGACTATATAGTATATTATATTTATCGTACCTATATACTATATTATATTTATCGTGACTATATACTATATTATATTTATCGTAACTATATACTATATTATATTTATCGTGACTATATGCTATATTATATTTATCGTGACTATATACTATGTTATATTTATCGTGAATTATCGTGACTATATACTATATTATATTTATCGTGAATTATCGTGACTATATACTATATTATATTTATCGTGAATTATCGTGACAATATACTGTTACGTCTCCGTTTGTTAATTGATTTTCCGTAACTTCGTTCCGACGAAACTTAAGCGACACAAGTCCTTTACTTAATAAAACTGGTTTATTCTTTCCGAATATAACTTTACCGATACACCCAACTTCAACAATCGCGCTAAACAAACGCTGTAACGTCTCTCGTGCTCTCTGACTGCAGTTCAATTACTCACTATCTACACAGACATTACATTACCTTTCCGCGTCAGTTTTCCCCCTCTTATATATACCCGCCTACCCTATCTAGTAATTACTAGAGCATTCATGAAAGAACAAGATAGTTCTAGAAAATAGAGGGCGCCACACCAGGCACGTGACCTCGATGACGCAACAATACTATATTATATTTATCGTGAATTATCGTGACTATATACTATATTATATTTATCGTGAATTATCGTGACTATATACTATATTATATTTATCGTGAATTATTCTGACTATATACTATATTATATTTATCGTGAATTATTCCTATTATATACTATATTATATTTATCGTGAATTATCGTGACTATATACTATATTATATTTATCGTGAATTATCGTGACTATATACTATATTATATTTATCGTGAATTATTCTGACTGTACCAGACATACTTATTTAATAAAAGTTATACATCTAAGCAGTTTGACACTTTGTGTTTCGATCACACAAAGAAGTTTGCACGTTAATATTAGCCAAGTTTATTATCGGTTTGTTTTCTTAGTTACCTGCACAACAACCAGGTAAGGAAGTCATACCCTTACTTGACAAAACTAGTAGAATTGGAACAAATAATGGCGAACTTGGCGATGATGTACGTCAATAATAAAAAATAATGGACGTCTCAAAACTCCATCTGTCATTTCTAAAGAATTCTGTCCACACGCCCCAGTAAAACACTTACGTGCAGCACACGCCACACTTCAGGCTTAACTCGATTCAATCAGTTGTTAACGAAAATGCACATTTTTGTTATACCTGTAAGTAGATTTTCAGAAAGTTCTGTTGACTTTTAAAGTAAGAGGAGGAACAATAAATCAATTTTGTACTTGAATTTCTTAGCAGTTCCACTCTTAAAGAGAAGGAAGACAATATTTCTATCGGTATGCATTTTATAACTTGCATGATGTACTGTTGAAATAATTTTATTTTGGTAATTTTAAGCCTACAGGAAGCGGACGTTTTTTGATTTTCAACTGATTTCAGGTTTCTGTGATGTGTTTATTTTTATAGAAAAGAAAAGATCCGGTTCTATTTTGTCAGGATTTTTAATGTTTTCTGTTTTGTTATTCACCCAGTCTTTTAAATGTTCCATTTTCTTTCCGATATAAGATTTTCACAAAACTATAACCATGAGTTATTCGTTCGTTAGGCCTTGTACAATATTTTTACTTTGTTAATCGCCGAGGGTGAAGATGATAGTTGGTGTAGTTATCATGTTGGCTACGTTTTTTCAACATGTCAGATGAACATCACGTGTTGTATGGTAATGAGAATTTGATGCAGAAACCTTCACGTTAAGTTTGTTGATAACTGCTAGAAGAAGTGGTTTTTTTCCACAGCTGCAGTTGACGCCTGTCTCTCCCATGGGCTCAAGAGACGTGCGCTAGGCCTATTCAAGACTAACTCCACGACAGCTCTGCTTCAGAAACTCGCTAAGGATTGTGACAGTGCCGCCGTCATCGCCCGTGTCGTAGAGGAGATCGAGGCAGCCGACCCCAACAAGTAAGTGGGCATTTGATTGGTTATGATTATCTTTTCTACATGATTAGCTCACAATTTTGTGGTAGTTTCAATCGTTTCTGTGACGACCAATGCTTGGAATAAATAAACAGACCAGACCTTACGTGATTACCACATTGAAAGTAGTTTAGTTGCAGTGATATATTGAAAACAACCATGCAATTAAACGCCAAGATAAAAATAATGAGATAAAAAGAAAGAGAGAGAGCAGTGAGATTATTTAAAATGTATCAGTTCCTAACAGACAGCTGTACATTGAGTCTGATGTTTTGTTCTGTAAAATTCCAACTTTGAAACATGTTTTAACATGTTAGTAGTCATGGTAAGTCAGAATGTGTTCTCTAGAGAGTCAACAAATAATAAACACAAAGTCATTCAATGTAAAAATGGAGTTTTTATCAGCCAGGATATAAATGTTAGTACTAACAAACAAACAGTTCACTTTGTGGAAGTTGTCATAGTTATCCAACTTTTTTATTGTTCAACTCTTGTGACTATTAAATGTGACAGATGGATTTTTTTTTTTCTATTAAACTGCTGACTATGGTTTGAGAACTGTACTAATCAATTGAGTGTAATCAATTACTGATGCTATTGATAATTCCATTAGTAAATGTCACTGATCACCCATCTATATCAATGGTACAAAGCTTATGTTGGGTATTAGAATTACTAGTGAAACATTACAAAAATTGGGTTTACATCATGCATTACATAAATAAGATTCACCAGATTCTCTACTGAATATCAATTGTAAGGTAGCAACCAGGTGAAGTCTGCTTTTCTCTCTTTTAATCTTCAGAAAGAACCATTCTCTAGCATCCTGACAGCTTTAAAATGTTTACAAGAATTGTCATTTTATATAAGATTTTGGCATTAAACATGTTTTCAATAAAACATATTTCATCCCAATTTAGAATACGTAATGTTCTATCAACCGAACAAATAGTTTATGTCATGTAGAACATGATGTCGAGAATAAACTCTATATCAGTCGAAATTAGAAGATTCTATATGTGTCATCCATTATCAAAGTACAACACGGCTCACTGTCCATTTCCTATTTTTTTGTTATCAATTTTTGTTTTCTGGTTGTGAACGTTGTCCTGATGGTCTTGGAATTTGTTGAGCACCAGGAGACAATCCCCAGAGGCTGTGTTGACAGATGCCGACCCCTCATGTGAAGATTGACTATCTTGCAGAGGTAAAATAGGTAATTTACTGTTGTGACCAGTGCCTTTTTTGGCTCTATACTGTTCTATTGATTCTCCATTTTATACTTTTCCTATCTACAACATTTAGTATTTTGTTTTCCCACAGTCCATGTTTTCTGCTTTCACCGTAGTAGTGCAAAGGATGTCAATATCCTGCCAGTAGATACATCCAGGTGGTTGTTGGTTGTTACCAAGCTCAAAGCTACACAATGGGCTATCTCTGCTGTGTCCATCGTGAGTATTAAAACCTGACTTTTTGTATCAAAAGCCCTCAGATGTACTGCTGAGCCACCAGTGGCCTCCAAATGATGGTCTTACCTACAGCTGAGCCACCGGGGCCTCCAAATGATGGTCTTACCTACAGCTGAGCCACCGGGGCCTCCAAATGGTGGTCTTACCTACAGCTGAACCACCAGTGGTGTCCAAATGATGGTCATACCTACAGCTGAGCCATCAGTGGCCTCCAAGTGATAGTCTTAGCTACAGCTGAGCCATCAGTGGCCTCCAAGTGATAGTCTTAGCTACAGCTGAGCCACCAGTGGCCTCCAAATGATGGTCTTACCTACAGCTGAGCCACCAGTGGCCTCCAAATGATGATCTTACCTATAGCTGAGCCACCACTGGCCTCCAAATGATGGTCTTACCTATAGCTGAGCCACCAGTGGCCTCCAAGTGATGGTCTTACCTACAGCTGAGCCATCAGTGGCCTCCAAGTGATGGTCTTACCTACAGCTGAGCCATCAGTGGCCTCCAAGTGATGGTCTTACCTACAGCTGAGCCATCAGTGGCCTCCAAGTGATGGTCTTAGCTACAGCTGAGCCACCAGTGGCCTCCAAATGATAGTCTAACCTACAGCTTAGCCATTAGTGGCCTCCAAATGATGGTCTTACCTACGTCTGAGCCGCTAGTGGCCTCCAAATGATGATCTTACCTATAGCTGAGCCACCAGTGATGTCCAGATGATGGTCTTACCTACTGCTGAGCCACCAGTGGCCTCCAGATGATGATCTTACCTACTGCTGAGCCACCAGTGGCCTCCAGATGATGATCTTACCTACTGCTGAGCCACCAGTGGCCTCCAGATGATGATCTTACCTACAGCTGAGCCACAAGTGGTGTCCAAATGATGGTCTTACCTTGTGGTTAGTTTCCTTTCTTCCATTTATCTTAATTTTATGCACTAGTATCACTTGCAAATACCATACTAGTGGCTGTGGGTCAGTCACAAGTACCATACTAGTGGCTGTGGGTCAGTCACAAATACCATACTAGTGGCTGTCGGTCAGTCACAAATACCATACTAGAGGGTGTGGGTCAGTCACAAATACCATACTAGTGGCTGTCGGTCAGTCACAAATACCATACTAGAGGGTGTGGGTCAGTCACAAATACCATACTAGTGGCTGTCGGTCAGTCACAAATACCATACTA